AATAATAATAATAATAATAATAATTAAGCATATGTAATGAATGTGAAAACAAACTTTGCAATATATTGATTGAAATCTAGTGTACGTGACATTCATAACTTATTGAGGATGTAATATATAAAAATAGGTATTGAGAGAGATAATGAATTTGACATGATTTACTTTTAAATTAATCGAAATCTAATGTAATTATTGGATATTAAGAAATTAATATAAAATAATAATAATAATAATAATAATAATTAAGCATATGTAATGAGTGTGAAAACAAACTTTGCAAGATACTGATTGAAATCTAGTGTATGTGACACTCAGAACTTATTCGAGGATGTAACATATAAAAAGAACACGTTTTATTGAAAAAAACAAAGGGGAGCAACTGGAAAGGGAGGCATAATCCAAAGCATATGCTAGTAATATCCAAAGTGTGTAATTAAGAGTTCCAGAAATTACGGGTCGGTGGAAAAAGTCAGCTAATTTGTTCCATACGACGTGAGTTTTGAATTTTGATTATGCCTGCGATCGCAGAGCAAATTTTGAGTTGGTATATACTAGATTTGTATGCTGAATGCTAATTGCCTTTATCCCAGAAAATACCTCGCGTTTTCCCACTCACAAAATAGAAATTGGATTTCAGGGTCAAATAAATTCGACGATCTTTCTTTTTAAAAGAAGAATCTCAAATATTTAGGGCTAATTATTTTCTTTAAAAAATATTAAAATAAATTAAAAATAATATATTATGTCACAGGAATTGTAAACCTTATATATATATGTTTGTGTTCAGAACATTAAAATTTACAATACAATATAAATTTTATGATGGGAAGAAATCAAAACAATTTGATAATTAAAATATTAAAAAGAATAATGAAAAATTTTAAATATTTTTAATAAATTAATATATAAAATAATTTATAAAAAATATTTAAATAATTTTACAGACAATTTGAACATGTAAACGATGGGACAAAGGGCATCCAAATTTTTTATTTTTTTAATCAATTTTTCACCAAGGAATAACATTTTGTTTTTTTTAGTGTTCGGTAAATTCTTGGGAATTGTAAAAATGTTACAGTAAATACCCACTATTTTTTTAACAAAATACCCACAATAATAAAAATATTACTGCTCCAAGCCCAAAGAACACGCTAATTTATTCTAGTACGTACGTATTACCTCCGTTTGAAAATGATAAATGTTTTACTATTATTTATTTCAAAATAATAATTATTTTTTTATTTTTATTTTATGATTTTTTTTAATTTTTA